GATCGATATTCAAATGAGTTCCATTGAACGTATGGCTAGTGATTTCACAGGACACATCATGGACTATGCTGTTAGCAACGATTCTATTGGATTAGTCATTTTAGGACAATTAGGAACAGAAGTGCACGTTTACTCTCAGCGATCGTCGACGCAACCGATGGTAGAACATTTGAGTTGGAACGGAACATATGAAAACATTGCTACATCACCAAATCAGATATCATCATCAATCGCATTTGTTTATTCAGCATTAGATAAACCACAAGAAGTTTATTTTATCGAAAATCTTGATCAAATTATAAATGCTGAAATATTAACGACAGAGAACAGTTTGTTTCTAGAAACAGATTTACCCCGTGGAAAACCGTATCGGTGGAACTCGGATGATAATATAACTGTCGAAGGTATGTTACAGTATCCACCAGGTAAATTTGAGCAGAAGAACTTGCCTTTATTTGTCCTCATTCATGGTGGCCCCTATAGCGCAGATGGTAATCGATTTGAGGCTAGCTGGTACATATGGGCAACGGTAGCAGCTACCGAGGGATGGTTGGTTTTGATGCCAAATTACAGGGGTTCAACCGGGTATGGTGATCACTTTTTGAGTCAAGTTATTCACGAAATTGTATCACGACCAGGAAAAGATATTCTTGCAGGAGTTGATTCACTTGTGCGAGATGGTATAGCTGATCCAAACCACCTGACTATAGGGGGTTATAGTTACGGAGGTTATTTGACTAACTGGTTGATAACACAAACAACTCGTTTTAAAGCAGCTGTTACGGGCGCCGGTGCGGTGGAACATATAGCAAACTGGGGTAACGATGATGTGAGTCTAGTTGACGCTTATTTTCTTGGTGGTTATCCATGGGAAGTACCTCAGCAGTATCATAGCGAAGCTGCAATATATTATGTCGATAAAATAGAAACACCAACGCACATGATTACCGGTGATAAAGATATACGAGTGGCAGTATTGGAAAGCTTCTTATTTGAGCGTGCTCTGAACACTTTAAATGTTCCATGTAAATTGTTGCTGTTTCCGGGAGAAGGACATGAATTAGATAAAAACCCATGGCATGGAAAAATCAAAGTTCGAGAAGAACTCAGATGGTTGAAAATGTATGGAAATAGAACAGTTTAGAGGTAAAAAAGAATCCGCCATGGCAAACAGTTTAATAATCTATAACCTATTCCATTTTGAATGATAGTATTGGATTTTCTCTCTAACATACATGTTTTGAATAACATTGAAATAAAGGCTATGCACTTTCGGAAATTTTTGGAGCAAAAAGAAATTGAGTCTAGAAATATTAATTTGAGACTCTTCAAATATAACATGGCCAGGTATTTTTAGGCATTGGAATAAGATCCAAAATGGTAGGAGTCATCTGGCAAACCTGCCTAGTTTTTTCTAGTAAAATATGAAGCTTATTTTTACGTGCCATTCGAACTTCTAGCTACTTACCGACTTCTTGCAAAAACCTTCCCATCTCTCGTATAAATAATTGATGGCAAAATGTTTCCGCAGAATGTAGTTCACAAAACAACTATTCATAAGTCGACGGTTCGTGACTCAATTGATAAAAGTTCAGACCGATGGCATCTATTTTAGCACGCAGCTTCGATTCCTGCACGAACTGATGATTTTTTCTGCAACTTTCCGCTTCCCGACTGACTGAAATCAGCATCTTAGACCGCACTTTTCGATGCTCAAAACAAAAAATTCTGAAAAAACTTGATTTGACGGCTTTTGTTCATGGAAATAATTTTCTTCATATGTCTCTAAGGGTATTTGATAGGTGGTAAAAAAACAACAACAACAAACATCTCTGTTCTGTTTATCAACCGGTACAGGTAATTTCATATACGAGAGGTGTCTGCGTAGTTTTGAATCGAGAAGAAAATAACCTTGTATAATAGTGCCATCACTCAACAATTTTTGTAACGCTGGATCCAGTAAATGCGGACTGTTATAGAATGGAGCGCTGTACAATGAGGAAACAGCGTAGTAGAAATTCAAAAAAAAGAGTGTGAATAACTTACGTTTTCCCTGTATCTGGAACTTTTGCTGTCAATGCACTACGCATGAAAATATTAAACTCAATATTGAGAATTTTTTGCACATTTGATGGTGTTTTGAGTTTTGAACTTGTTGCAACTGACGGTGGTGTTGGTGTATGGAATAATGTAAGTGCATTACCAAATAGAAATGAATACCACTCCCAAGCAGCTACACAAGTCTCTTTATATTTAGTAATTTTACAACAGCCTTCTTAGTTACTAGAGACCCAGACAGAATTCATTTCTGAAAGAATCAAAGAAGATATCACGACCGGTTTTGACCTTTCTCAAGGGTCTCGTCAGATGGTTTCCTTCGAGAAAGACAGAGTTAAGGCACGACAAACAACACAAACTCCGTCCACACCGTATGAGGGTGTTACTCTTCCTTGTTCTTATCGAACAAAGAACGATAACTTTCACACGACGAGAGCGAAGCACGATATCACTGTAAAAAAAGTAAAGACGTTTGTTTTTCTGCAAGGACAGACACTTATATGTCCTTCTTACAAAAAAAATGTTGTGCTTTTGTATATAATACCTTTTCTTCACCTTAGATTATTTTTGTCTATTTGCGTGTTACTGAAATTACTCGTAAATTAGCTTCTTAAATCGGCAATAGATTAGTGGTGATTTTATTGAGGTTTTTGATAGGATTCTGCGTATTTAACCGTAAACGTAGAGATCAATCTAAACTGGGTCGCAAACAGAAAGTATTTGGACTGCTACAGCTATAGGTTCAGCGCCATTTGAAATTGAATCAGGAGAAAGCAAATTAAAATGGATTAAAGCCTTTAAATACCTCGGATATTGGATAAGTTCAAAACTAGGATGGCGTACTATGATAAAAATATCGATGTTAAAGATAGGCAGAGAATAGGAATGATAAACTCATTTTGATTTTCTGGTAAAACGTCTGTTCCCCTAAGAAGGGCTCCCTTTTTGTCGTATGAATTACCTCTGTTTACCTGGATGTTTACGTTGTTTCCGTTCTTTACACCAAATCGGTGTAACGACCTTTCTCATTTCTAACATACATGTTTGAAAAGAATAATGTTTTACTTCTAAGATGGAATTATTATTTTTTTCCCTATGTGTCTCTAGAAGATAGATGCTATCGTTATTCGAGCAAATACTGGGAAGCGCCGGCGGACTCGGTTGACGGTGAACTGGTATTTTAACGTGCATCTTTAAACGAATTTGGACAAGCCTGAGCACAGAAAGAGTTTGCAATTAAACATTTGAAAGTGTCCAAAAAATATGCAGAGAATATCTTTGTGAAGGAGATAACGAAACCATCTATCTTCTAGAGAGATCTCATCAAACACATATGGCAAAAAATAATAATTCCATCTTAGAAGTAAAACATTATTCTTTTCAAACATGTATGTTAGAATTCTGTGTATATACGTCCGTCACACTCCTCAGCCACTATATCTATGTACGTCCGTCACACTGCCACATGACTATATGTATGTACGTCCAGCACACTCACTAGTCACTGAATGTATGTACGTCCACGGTATATAAGGTTATTTTCTGTGACGTGCATTCGACTCTTTATTATTCAGATTCCTTCACACATAATGCGCACACATTTTGTTGAAAAACAACAAGTATCAAAATGAACGAGTATGAAAAACATGGTCACACGACAGTTGAGCCTATGACATATGAGCTCTTGACATTTCAGCCCCCGATATTTAAGCCTCCCGATACGTGAGCCTTCGACATTTGAGCCTGTCGCAGATAGGCATATATGACTTTTAATTTTTTAATTTCAAAAATTAAACAAAGCTCTTGCTCTTTTAAAGTACTCCTTTCTTGTGTTTATGTTAAAAGTGGTAATTAACTGTTGTTCGTCCATTTGTTCATATGCCGCACGTTTTGTCAATTTTACAAGCCCAGCTTCTAACTTCTCAGCTATACAAAAGTATCGAGTATCTCAATGGGTAATACAGCGTTAGAAATGATACAGCCGGAATATTTATTATATTTTATGTTATTATATATTTTTTTTATTCTTACTCTAACGAATGAAGAATGGCGAGAAGAACCTTAGATGTTTTATATGAATTAACAAGGCAGAGTCTCACGATTTAACTCTAGTTATAATCTTTAAGGCATAACCCGTTTAACTTCTTGTCAAAAATTGGTTAGTTTTAATTTTTAAAAGATACCCAAACGTGGATTTTTGAAAAAACTTCTAATATTTTCTTTGGATCATCAGGTTTCGGTCTTAAAGTCACGTCTTGATTCCTTCTTGCAACTTAAGATAAGACCACTTTTGTACTTAAATTTTAAAATTATCTCAGTACTCTGTTTAACTTTTATAGCCGTGTCTGGACTGTATTTTTTAATAGATCAGTAATGCTACTGTTCGACCTCTATATAGAAAAGGAGAAGGATAAATGTTTATGGATACATTGCATATACATTGTGCATTATTTTTATCATTGTCCTCTCTTTACGTGTGTATTACAGAGTATCTTCTTACACAAATCAGGTCTTGTTTTTTAACACAGTATGAAGAGTTTTTTTTATACATGATCTGTGTGTAGTTTATCAATAATTATTTGCTTTTTTTTAATTAAAATAATAGAGTGACGGCACGATCAACTTAAACACTTGTAAAGAGAACTTGATGTATGATGGGCAAAAAAAAGAAGATCGTGATAAAAACGTGCAAAATTCAAGAATGGCTTGAAACTCTAGCCGCTCGGTACAAAAACAAGGCGATCAAGACGAGTACCTCGAAGACCTTTCTGTCTTGGTCGCAAAGAAGAAATGAACAGCCAAAGATGTCTTATTTTGATTCTACTCATGTCTCTCTCTCTCTTTACAGCTTTCTTTCTCTTTTCTTGTTTGTTTAAAAAAGGATAGACAAGTTCTGGATATTGGCCGGATGTTTTCGATGAAGTGTTTTCTGAGAAATATTTTCTGCAAAATGCTGTTCTATAAAATGTTTTTCGACGCTATAAACTCAAAGGTCTTCTGTTCGATTACAACAAAAAGATTTCATCTGCATATCTTCAATTTCGTTGACAAAGGCTTTTTCTCTCCAAAATATCTCTGTTGTCTCACAAAATGCTTCTGTTATCTTAGCAGTCTACTTTTCTCTTTTAGCTCAAACGATCAGGAAGCAGCTACAATCACATTTACAATCGCTGATAAAAACATGCCAATAACAGTAACAATAAGAAACAAAAATGGTGACGGTATATTAAAATTAAACTGTTTTAATATGTTGACAATTGAACGTTTACGTGATATAAGTTGTCGGTTATTTAATGAAGAAAGTGCATACTACCGTTTAGATGATTCAGAAGGATGTCGTATGGGTGAAAAAGACACAATGCATGATGTTGACGATGAAGCAAATGAATTTCAATTTCAATTTATCTGCAAAGCATCAGTCAAATGTTCAATTAAATTTCAATCAAAAGTAATTGAACTACCATGCTATTTAAAAACACCAGTTGGTGATCTATTTCAAAGAGTAATGAAAAAATTTTCCGAAAACTTACTTAGCTACAATTAAATATGGTTTATTTATTATGGATAATAAAAATGAATATGCTCAGATTGATTTAAATGATTTAAATGTTGAAAATGTTGTGGATAAAAAATCAACAAAACTCGAAGAGATAACAACATTACATTTTAAGATTGAGTAGTTTGGCACAACCCAATATTTTTATATATACGTATGTCAAAGCTTCTTTTCCATTTTTTGGGTTCTGCGCCTGATATATCCAAACGCCTTTATTTTGTTTGTTTATTTGTATTTTTCCTTCAGGTTACTTTTTGTGTCAACATCTGGAGAATGTATACTTTTGCAAGAAACAGTACATCGTTAGTTTTTCCATATATTCATTTAATCCAAACCAAATCTGTGATGAATTTATTTTCTACTTGTGAATATGTTTTTCGATACACCGACAGATGAGTCTCTGACGTTTGAGCCCCGACAAATGAGCCTCGACAGCTACCAACACTTGAGCTCTTAACATTTCAGCCTCCGATATTTAAGCCTCCCGACATGTGAGCCTTCGACATTTGAGCCTGTCGCAGATAGGCATTATATGACTGAGTTCGATACTATTAACGAACAGCCTAATTGATTGATTGATTAAAATTTTATTTAATAATTTATTTTTTAATAATGAGTTGACTAAAATTGAATTTGGTTTCCGAACGAGTTGTAAATATATAACGAGGAAAAATACAAATAAACAAACCAAATAAAGGCGTTTGGATATATCAGGCATACTTTCGCATAATAATCGATTTTTAGCTTGACACAGCATATTTGGAAAGGCATGTGAGTGGCGAGTTAAACAGGTAGAAAATCCTTAGAAGTTTGATCAGATAAAAATATTTCCAACGTGAGGGGTCCATGTTCACAATTTTTGTTTTAAAATTTGATGTAAACAAATGAAGAGATTCGTATAAAAGATTTCTAAAAGAGATTCGTTCTTTTTCTAGAAGAGAGCGGGAAAAGCCTTGAATCTCCAGCTTTTTTCAGATGAACTTGAAAAACTGTAATTTTAAGCCTGAACAGTCACATAAACTTTGAATGATGATCTCTCTGATTTGTTGCCGTTGATGGGCTCATCTTGCAGATTTCATAAGAGAAAACTGAAATAAGTCTGCAGCAACAGATAAAGCCGTATTACGCATGAGTACAACGATGATATCAGACGTGGAACATGAAGGTTGGCGGCCTGTTTCATCTAGCTGGATGCATAGTTTACGCTATGGTATAATGGACACAAAATTTTCAAAAGTGAGCGAAAACGCAGACGAAATTTGCTACGTGATCGGTTATCATTTTGATTCAACATTATTACATGTTTCATATCTCTTTTGGTCCCTCTCGTATTAATCAATATTCACAACTGTTGGATGAGTGAGCGAATACGATTTTAATGCACCATTTAAAGCCTTATTTTGATAAATTAGAGCTAAGCCATACTGTTCCATTGAAGCGTACAATTGAGCCATATTCTGATTATGTGATATCTTTGAATGATGACGATTATGTCAGGATAATTTTCTGGCAAATATTTACAATAAGATTGCGTGTTTGCTCGTAAGTTTTTAAAGCAGCGTGATACTCCTGTTTTGATTGAAGAACCAGTCCTATACAATTCTGAATACGTGTGATATCGGGATGCGTTTCTGGTAAGAATTCTTTTCTGATTTGTAATGTTTATGAAAAATAGTGCAGTACTATGTTTAGTTCTTCTTTAATTTGGTAGACAAGTCCTATATTGAAATAACACATACTTATATCATGTTGTGTAGTAGCATGAGACGAATTAAGCCAAATCTCTAGAGCCATTTCAAAGTTGTGTAATGCTTTCGCACAGCAACCCTTTTTTAAACAGAGGATCCCAATATTGTTATAACTGTGACCAAAACTAAAATGATTACATGGAAGCGGTTTTCGTCTTATTTCAAGTGCTATATTGTATTATGCAGTAGCCGACCTAATATCGCCTTTGTTCGACAGTGCATATTAAGTGACATATACCCACAAGTTATAATGAAAATTGAACCAACTGTGTCAGAAAAAATTAACAATTTTCATTCTAGTACAGTTTGAGTCCTTAAAAGAAATTTTTTGAAACTTATGCACGCATTTCAAAACAACGAAGCATTTTGAAGCAAATTTTCGCTGTCAGAGTTATTTAGAATAATCCTTTTCATACTAATCGAAGAGTATACATCATCTGATATGTGCAGACGCTGCCGCCACTAAAGGCGGAGAAAAATTGCTGTGACTTTCGCCGCCGCCATGCCGTTAAATTTTTGTCGTCGCCAAAGGCGGAGAAAAATGTTTTTCGAAAATTTCGACTATTTTTGTTAGTACGTTCTTACCTTAGGCATCTGGCATGCAGCGCGTTTCTATCTTTTCGTATACGGCAACGTACAGATACGGTTGGTAAGAACTTGCCACAAATGAAAGAGAACGTTGTTTTAGTTAAATTAGAAGACAAATTTGTACACGCTGCCGCCGAAGGCGGACAAAATTATCATAACCTTGCGCCGCCGCCTATGTTAAAAATTTCATTCGCCGCCGCCGAAACTTTTTTATCGGTGCACATGTCTGTACATCACATCATATAGATATGGAACAGATATATGTCTTCTTGTATGATATATCTATAGACTCTTCGGCTAAGCAACTAAGTAAACATTGTCATGAGATTCAGCCTAGGCGTTGTAGTCGTTTGTGTATCTAACAGTCAACAGATACCAATCGCAGAACTCAGATATAGAGTACAAAAATCTATATCGGCTTCCATTTCAAAGAAAGAACTTCGGACTACCTAGACATGAAAGATGATCAAGAAGCTTTTATTACAGATTTTTAATCAATAATAGGTCTTCTAAAGAACTTTTTTAAAGCTTACTTAAGAGAGCATTTTTTAAAGTTGTGTTTAGGAAGAAAAGAAGTTCTTTACACATTGGCTGTCAAGTGGCAGGATTTGATTGAAAATATGTGCAGAATTGTTCTGGTTTAAAAGAGAGAGGTGGAGGAATTCCGACACCTCTTGTCGTTCTAGATAGAGTTTATACCCTTGAGTTCGGTGTTTACCTGTATAATCTATAATGAAGACATTTCCTTGAATTTACTTTTCTAATTAGAGCCAAAGGAGATGTTTCACCACCCTTAAAAACTCATAACAGTCTACATACACGAGTTCTTTTTTCCTTGTGCATATTTTACAGTTAATATCGTAATGGAAATAGCCCACTGCCGTTCATTTAACTTTAAAATCTAATTAATGTGCTGTCTTGTTCTCCGTTCGACTCCAATATCTTCCCGGTTGTTTTTCAATTAACAATTTTCCATTCTTTAAATATAATTCCTCGGGTGTCTTCTGTAATCGATAAACTAACACATGACCATCGAATTCTGGTGTACTGACTTCTTTTTGTTTGTTTTCAACATCTAAACCCCCAAGACTTCCTTGCCATATTTGCCAACCCATTGTCGTGTAAAAGTCTTGTTTATCTGTTTCTAATGCTCCTAACTGATATTCATTTTCGTTCATAATTTCAACAAGTTTCCTCATAACAATTGTACCATATCCATGACGCTGATGCTGAGGGAAAACCGAAACAGCATCAACATAAGCTGTACGTATTCGTTTTAACTGCCCTGCTTCAGTGGAAGATGGTGAATACCAGCAAAAACGTTCAGATAACATGCCATGAGCAATGAGAAAAGCATCATTAGCGTTTAACTGGTAAACAAGTACGTGTATAACACTATCAGTTATTTTTGCTTCATCAATGCAACCCCATAAACCCGAAAAGTCATGCTCATGAGCTTTGGAACAAACAAAAGATATCGATTGTCGAAGTTCGGGTGTTAGATCAATAGTGCGATAAACTTCCACTCTTGTTGTTAATTCAAAAGACATATTTTCTGAAAGAAAAAAAGGTTTGACATCCAGTTAACAAAGACGAGGATTCCCGACAAACTTGATTTCGACTATCCGCTCGTTCGAAACAAGCACGAGGGTTCAAATCAACTTAAAGAAAAGTAATACTGTAGTATTTTCGAACGTTTAACAACTAAAGAAGCTGAGGAAAACCGAAGGAGATTAACACGTGTATCACCGACGCGAACGGGAGAGACTTTGGCACATGATGTTGCTTTTTAAAGGAATAAATTGCGAAATAATGCAATACGTTTAGTTGACTTTTTCAGGCTGAGAGAGAATGACGTGAAAATAAGGTCGAGGGCACATAAGAAACCTTCGACGAAGTTACATAGGTAAAATTCCGTCAGATTAAGAAATTACTTTCAAACAATCTTATTGCTATATTGTTTTCAGCATGTTGAATCCACTATGCAGAGTCTACTTCGAAAAAATGATGTCTGGTTTCGTATTTCAACGCATGGTTATCTTAGCCGAGCGTTTGTTTTTCCGTTTTCATTTTATGGTACAATTCTCAGACACTAATGAGGATTAATGAAAGGGCTCATTTTGGAGCTTGTTCAGAATAATGTTTAACTTTTCAAACTTACCGGAAAAGTCTCCATAAAATGCCCTCTACATTTAAACCCACCCTTTAAAAGATATCTGATTCAATGCTTCGAAAGAAAAAAAGAACCATCTTTTTTACCTTGCGTTCTACGCGACAAAAAAGACATTTTTGGTTATATGATTCTGACTCACCGTCAAGGGAGAAAAACAAAATAAAGTGACACGATACATGAGTACAAAATAACAAAAAAATTTTACCTTTTTATCTTAATCGAGAATATAAATTCCCATTATATCATTCTGAAACTTAAACTATCAAAACACAAAATCAATCCTTGCACGACGCTAGGATCGAACACATGAACTTAATCTTTGCAGACGAACTGCAAAAAGCAACTTCGCTGTTCGTTCCTATATTCTGCACAATGATTGAAGTTGTGCAATGACTCGATGTTATCCTTCAAAAAAGGATCGGTTAAAACGACGATTAACCTCATAATTAACCGGAAAAATGATCGGTTAGCTCAGGTTAACTAACCTTTTTTTCTGTTAATTGTGAGGTTAACCGTCGGTTTTTCTGCTGTGTTTGTATGGTTTCAAGTGAAATAACCGTGATTAACTCCCGATTTTCATCCGGTTTCGACAACATGAGTGTATATTAATAAATATGGCTTTGAAAACCGGTAAAAATATTTTCGGAAAATGGTCTTTACAACTTTACATTTACAAGGAAATTTCCGTAGTCGCTGAAGACGGCGAAAACTTTTGGCAAACTGACGCTAAACCTTAATGATTACCAGAGAACTTTAATCGGAAAAGTGCTCATAGTTGACTTTCTTTTTCTCAGAAAAGTGCAAAATAGTGTGTATTTTCAAAATTCTAAGTGCACTGTGCACTTTTTCTCCATTTGGTACACTTATCATTGGAAAGACTGGTTCAGAGATGGGTGAGTCACTATTTTTTCGGGTCCGGACCAGGGTCCTTCGAGTCCAGGTCCGAGTTCGAGTCGCATGAAAAGTTGACTCTATTCACTTCGAGTGATTTTCTAAAGGAAAACGTGCTCATGATTCATTTTTCCAAGAACAAATTTTTTGATACAATAAGAATTTTTGATTGAAGGGAATACTGAGCATTTTATAATGCCATATTGTTTCAGTATAGTGTTTCCTCTTTTAATAATACTCTCATATTCAATTTCTCTGCGTTGTATTAAATGTGATTTCATGTCACGCATTTTAAATGATGAATGTGATAGTAATTCAAGCACGATTTATCATACAGAGAAAGCACGGATGGTCTTCATGCCTGAAACCACATTTGAATGAATGAAGACCCACTACTGCCAGTAAATCTCCTAAAAAGCCAAATAAATCATTTCTTTATGAAAACAAATAGTTTTACTATAAAATGAAACTTCTTTCGTATTACTAACAATACACACAATCAACAGAAGTTGTCTATATCCTCGCCGGTATTTTTTACTAACTGTGATATTTTTTCTGCTTAGTAGTAATTTACTCAATACATCAATAAAACATTATTAATGCCAACACGAAATACGGTTTTCTGATTGCTTTCGCTAAGTTGGTGGATTGTGAAAAATATTGACAGAATGTCTATGGCCAAACAAGAAATCAAAACCTTTTGAAAGAAAGTCTGAAGGTGAATGTCCTAATCTCCATCGAAATGATGCACGAATAGCCAAAAAAACGATCTTTTTCTCTTTAAAGTCAAATGTGATGTGGGGTATATAACTGTTTAAAACAAAAATATTCTGAAATTTGTTTAGAGCTTACTGAAAAACAGTTTTTGTTGCAGAAGTGGAGTAGCACTAAAAAAATTGAGTGCAGCAGTACGCTGCTCCGTGCTCTATATGATGCAGCTCAATAAAGCTATAAAAGTCAGTAGAAAATATTTTGGTTTTTGAATAGATTTTCTAGAAATTATTCGAAGTACAGCAATGTTTTTTACTATTCTGAAGAAAAAAAACATATAGAGCAAGCATAATACAGTACATTTTAATATTCTGACGTAATTTGAATGGATCTTGACTGGGTTATGGATTTTTAATTTTACTCAGAAATAGGCAAAAATGTGTTATGTCATCTAATATAGGTTTTCACTAGGTTTTTGAGAGTGTTTTGAAAAACAAACATTGCGACGATGATTAGCGTGGTCGGTTACCTATGTTTTAACTCTTTTGAATTTTTCAAACGGTAAAAATCATCAAATCTGGTGGTCCGGGGAAAATCCGAGCACACTCAGGACTATGTTTCTATCGAAAAAAAATCGGCCGATCTCTATGATAATTTCAGAAACTACAAATCGGTTTTTCAAAGATTCTCTAAAAAACCGATCTGCTGAACCTTTTCAAGAGTAGTTTTTGCTTATGAAAAGTTGGCTTTAAGTAACTAGTTTCGATTACTGAAAACTCAGGTCGCTATCTATCAAGATGATGGATTTGTTCAAGAAACGAGCACACGCCTTTTATTTTGACGCTGATAGTAGCATTTGAAAATCGTTTAATTACTACCATACTGCTTTAGTAAGTATGTTTATGCTTATATTATCTCTCTTAAAAACTTAATCTGTACCAAAATGCATTTTTATATAAACCAGATAGATAGTAGATTAAACGAAGAATTACACAGGAAACTTACTTAAAAACAATAAAATATCGAATAACGACGATCGATTTGGTGAATTTTCACATATACAGTCCTTTAATGTCTCGATATATTCTGTTGAATTCGATGCATAAACTATTTCTCCACAAAATGCAACCATACATTTCTTAACTTCTTCATTAACCATTTTATCTTGTTTCAATATTTCTTCTAATAAAAGTTTAGTACTAATAGTATTTGTTGTTAATAACCCGATTGTATAAGTTATCAATTTTTCACGAGCTTCCGGTAAATTCTCAGGTTTTTGAGATTGTAATGCTAAAGCCATTGATTGAATATTCTTTGATAAATCAGTTGCTGTGGGCTTTTCAAATTCAATATCATTTTGCTTTAACGAATTTAACATTTCTATTTGATTCATTAATGGAAGTCGTACAGATTCAATCAACAAAATATGTAAATTATTTAACTTTTTTAATAATGATCTATTCTTATCTTCAAGTTCAGTTAACGTTGATTTCAACTGACAAATCTTAAACAGAAACAAAAAAATTCCGAGATAATGTTGTGTTTTTAAAAGAATTCTTATTGCATTTTTTTTAGAGAAATAATACAGAAGAGTGAGTATGTGCAGACTGATTTGTCTTTAACAGTAGAACACTATATATTCTTAATATTCAACTTTTTTTCAACTGTTACATTTTTAAGTACGTAAAGTTGTTCTCTTCTTCAGTATTAAGTGAACAATTCAAAATAGTTATGTCAATAGATACGAAAAAGATAGAATCAGACTACGAATAATGTCAAAAGAAATAAAAAAAGAGATATGAAAATATAAATCTGACAGATGGAATAAATTACTATCAAACATCGAAGAATCTCATGGAAAATCAGACACTGTTTTCGCATTTATCGACCGAAATCTCCCCCCTTTTCCGAACTACGTGTAGACGACACCACTATTTCTGATCAACAAGAGATAACGGGAAATTTGTTTAAATATTATTCAGAACAATTCTCAGCACATTTCTGTGATCCTAACAACCCAGATGATACACAGTGCAAAGTTGAGCACGAGGAAATTATGACAAAACTAGCTTCATGCTCAAATATTGTAGCTCTAACTTCAGCTTATGAGATTAAAAATTTAATAAGAGCCTTAAAACCAAAAAAATCAGCAGGTTTTGACAATATATCAAATTTTATGATAAAAAAACTTACACCGGCGTTTATCGACTGTTTATGTTTTTGTTTCAACGAATGGCTGTCTAAAAGTATATTTCCTCACGAGTGGCAGTTTGCAAAAATTGTTACCTTGAATAAACTAAAATCAGATATTCCTCCCTGCGAACACATTCGACCAATATCCCTATTACCCCCACACACTCAAAACTGTACGACTTCAAACGCGTGTTCTGTCAATCTATCAGGAGGTAAAAAATAACCTTGCGGCAAATATCCCTGTTTTAGCTGTCTATGTAGATTATAAAAAAGCATACGCTATGGTTTGTACATGGGATTAATTGTTAAACTCTGTAGACTAGGAATGCCTCTTGAGCTTTTAAAATTGTTTATAAGTTGGTTAAGTGACCGGAAAGCCTTCGTTATATTCGAAAAGTTTAAATAGGGTATTTTTAAAGTACACATAGGACTCCCTCAAGGTAGTGCACTAAGCCCTTTTTTTATTATCTTCCATGCTAATTTAGTGAAATGCGTAGGATCTTTTTCTGCTCATCTGTTCGCTGACGATCTAAGTGCAATTATTGTCCCTTTAGTTTCAAGTAGTTTGTCTAAAATGCTAAAATTTTTAAATGAGGAAGGTACAAAAGTGTGTAATAATCTCTTTAATTACTCAAAAAAGTGGAAGCAACAGATAAATATATCAAAAACAGTCGTACAACTTTTCCATTCTCAGGTAATTAAATCTGAGATCGAAATCTATATGAACAATGTTAAATTAGTAGTAGTATCTGTCTTTAAATACTTAGGTTTTACGTGGACGGACAAGCTTTCGCTAAACCTACGGTCGATAGTTGTTTAGAAAACATTCAAACTTCTTACTCAAAATTAAAATAGCTGAAGCGAAATAAAAATATCTCAACCAAAGTTCTTCGACTTTGCTTCTTCGCCTCCGCTTTTCCCTTCTTCGCGTGGATCTTCTTTGCTTTTTCTTTCTCTGCTTTTTTCCCTTGCTATCAAAATTACAACAAGAACTATTCTACCGCAAATTTCGAGTAGGGATCCGTATAGTCTATAGATGCTCAAGAATCAAGAATGATCAAGAATCATAAATGTTATCTCGAATGGCTTTCATTTCTAGACAACTATAACTGTGAGTTGAGATACTAGTCCGCTTAGTTAAATCGGTTCTAGATTTTTCTTTCCTTTTTTCTTTCCGGTTTTTTGTATGTTAATTTTTTATGCTATTGCAAACTAGTCTTGGGCTGAGCTATGTAGAAGAAGAGAATGACCTACATTGTAAAGAAAACTTTTTGTATTTTTACTTTTTTCATAACTTTTGCAAGCGCTTACGAGCGTATCAATAAATAGCATAGCGAAGAAAAAAAACAGTTCAAAATTTTCGTTGTCCAATTACAAATGAAGAAAAAAAGAGAAAAACCAAAGAGATATTCATGTAAATTAAGCAAGAATTTCGCTTTGATCATAGAATGAAGATTTTTGGACTTGACTAGACTAGACATGATACAGTTTTATCATCAAACAAATTTATCTCTATAAAACAAGAATAACTTTAGACTCATTCTGCATCACATCCTTCCTTGACTATTTGGTTAGCAGTAAATACATATGAAATCAGTGCAGAGATGGGCGACTCGTGTCGCATTTTTCTATGACTCGGACTCGAACTAGACTCGAAGTGTAAGACTCGATAAACTTGATAAGCTGACTCGAATCCATTTCTAGTCAGTTATGTGCAATTTGGGATTACTATGAGGGTGTAAATTATATTTGTTATATATTAGAAGACAGACTGGAGGATATTATAAATAGAGCGGCAAGCTGTTCTTGGAAAAATGAATCATGAGCACGTTTTCCTTTAGAAAATCACTCGAAGTGAATAGAATCAACTTTTCATGCGACTCGAACTCGGACCTGGACTCGAAGGACCCTGGTCCGGACCCGAAAAAATAGTGACTCACCCATCTCTGAATCAGTGTTTCCAATGATAAGTATACCAAATGGAGAAAAAGTGCACAGTACACTTAGAATTTTGAAAATACACACTATTTTGCACTTTTCTGAGAAAAAGAAAGTTAACTATGAGCACTTTTCCGATTAAAGTTCTCTGGTAATCATTAAGGTTTAGCGTCAGTTTGCCAAAAGTTTTCGCCGTCTTCAGCGACTACGGAAATTTCCTTGTAAATGTAAAGTTGTAAAGACCATTTTCCGAAAATATTTTTACCGGTTTTCAAAGCCATATTTATTAATACACACCCATGTTGTCGAAACCGGATGAAAATCGGGGGTTAATCACGGTTATTTCACTTGAAACCATAGCAACACAGCAGAAAAACCGACGATTAACCTCACAATTAACCGGAAAAACGATCGATTAGCTCAAGAAAACCGACGGTTAGCCTCACAATTAACAGAAAAAAAGGTTAGTTAACCTGAGCTAACCGATCGTTTTTCCGATTAATTGTGATCGATTTATTTTGAAGCACCCGTTATATATACAATGTTATATATTGCCAGAAATCTAATAATTAGTAATATTTTTATTAAATTTTGTCCTTATTCGGTTGCATTTTTTATTTAGTAATTCTTTATATTGATTCGGGAGCATGTCAAAATTTAAATTATAATTTATTTTATTTTGTATAATTTCGGTTCCTTTGATTGTATTGTGGCATACATCGGTATATATATACTCCGATGTGTTCGTCTTTTTAACAGACATTTTTCTGTTTATAGCAATCCCTAATGAACACCTTTCTATAGTTTCGTTATCTAAGCATACATTTTGAATTAACACCCACACACATCCACGAACACCCACGAACACAAAGAAGAAAGGGTAAGTATCAGTATTAATGTATATGTCATTGAATCAAAGATCCAGCGATACTCCAAAAAAGAAGGATTTTTGAGCCAGGAGTTTCCAGAGACTTTCTGAAAACCTGCCAGAGATCCTGTAAATGTCACCATTAGATTCAGCATCGGATTTTACCTGTTTCAGGTTAGTTTGACTAATTTTATTTCTAAACTGTAAATTTTATCCGAGAATGACTTGACCGATGGAAGATATCGTCAAAGAAACACCTGTATCTCAACGAAAAAATAATAATCAAAGGAAAGGGCACGTAACCTTTTACACAAATTGAGGACGAGAGTAATGGTGGTAAAATTTCTCGTTCATCTCCTGTCGTAACAGACTTGATGCATTTTGTATCGACATGACTATCTACCATAAAGCGAAATTTTTTCGGCCATCCTACATTTACGAAACTTTAAAAACATATTTTTCTAATGCAGTTTTCGACGGAGAACATGAACATAAAATGTCCAAGTTCTGTAAGATAACGTGTCCGAGTTCTTCATTCGTTTCCGAGAAATAGCAAATTTATAAAAACTCGAAATTTTCGAGTTTTTGGCCCTATAAACTTGATTTCAAACCTCGTAACACACATATATTCAAATTCAGCTCGAGAAGCTGCATCGAACCATGTATAAATATTGAAGAAAAAAAATTGTTTAAGTTTTGAATTGCGCGCACCTTACCGCCAATTTAAAGAAACTCCTGCTTCAATACGGCTTCATACTTTCAAGACATGTGTTTTGAGCAAGCTCGATTAGACCTGTGCATTGTATGATAGCAAGTTTCGAGACATTACAGAAGTCACTTAAATCTGTACAAAATCTTGCGGCAGACATGATTACGCGGGATTTTGATATATCGGGGAACGATCTTGTATCCGGTCTCAGGTTGCCTCCATTAGAGGTACGAAGAAAATATTTTCGCCTTCTACTATTTTTCAAGATCCTAAATGGGCACTCTCCACTTTCTCGATTGAGTCTAATTCGGTTAGATACAGCAAGAAGATCAAACAGGTTAGCACGACACTCAAGACAGGTAGAAGTTCCTTTTGCTCGGACGAAGACTGTTTCAACCCATTGAAAAACAATTTCAACCTTTCGATTAACAACCTTTAAGTTAACAGTCTCAAATGCACCGTCCGTAACTCTCACAATGACAAACCTTCATTTGCCATTCAAAAGGCGTGGTTTAGATTTTCTTGTGAGGACTCGGAAACAGCCCCAATTCAATGTTCTAATCTTAAAATTAGATGGGTCACGGAAAGAATCTACCACGCTGAGTTGTCTGTAATAGTTTATTTTTGGAATAAAACTAAAAATCTTAGTGAAAAACGTATTTTTCTGTATTATCATGTAATAATGTCTCGGAGCGCTTTACGACACTTTTTAGTGAATCAGCATTCAATTTACGGACCGTCCCATACCAACAAAACTAACGGGGAAACAAGATGATACATGCTTAGGGCCTTCCGTAAATCGAATGCTGATTCATTAGCTCGGGGACGCCTCATTTTCTTCAAAGATAGATGCTCTACTGAATGGAGTTTTTGCAACGAATGTCTAGATTGAACTGTGGGATTTGGTTTTCCGAGATTTGGGTTTTCCAGAGACCCTGGTGTAGAGAGTTATGATAGAACATTTTTATACAGCACAACGGCTTCCAAATTCTATCAACTGTCTAAATCTTTTTTCAAATTTGTTCTTTGGTCCACGAGAAAAATCGAAAATAAAGGTAGCGAACAATTTTTGGAGCGATTCTAGGTTAAAGCGGCACAGTATTTAATACCCAAACACCCCTGCCGAGCTTCGTTAAGTTTTCTATTAACATATCTTGCAGAACTTTTCAAGGCGGATCGAATGATGTATGGATGATTAGAGATCGTCTTTAGTTTCACAGAGAAAAGTGACCATCAGTTCGAGTAGCGTAGCGGCGACCTACGAAGAAATCTAGTATTTGATTCACAACGGCCGCTGCCAGGCTTCGTTTAGTTTCTTATTAACATATATTGTAGAGTTTTTCGTGGCGCATCGAATGATGTATTGCGCTACGCTTAATATGGTATGATTACTGAGAAATGTTGCTTTGGCAATCATACTGTTGGTGCTAAACTGTTGCTTGGTTTCAAGTAGATTCTGTCGGATATATTCGACTGAAAGCGCTCGAAAGGGTCGAAATCATCGAATATGATAATCGGATGTGATTCTGATGAGGCTTGGATCGAGTGGCGGGGTTAGTGGGCCGATTTTAGTTCTTATGCGGACTTCACCGTTATAACTAATTTAATTTAGTACTTATC